GAGATTGTCTTGGGCCCAAAACCCAGCCTGAAGATGGCGAGTGAGACCTCGCTGAAATGTTGCCAAGACAATCTCAATCTTACATGAGAAAAGACCCGAATACAGCAAGACCAGCATACCTACACCCATGAAAATCTACAAACACACACACACACACACACACACACACACACACACACACACACACAGACACACACACACACGTTTTCGTAGATTCACGGGTGTAGGTAGAGAGAAATTGTATATTTTCCAGAAATAACCGACTAGCCAATGTTTATACAATATGATGAAGCTGTGCTCCGATCCAGCAAATCTTGCATTTAGATTGTGAATGTTTTATCACAAAATGATGTATAGTAAATATGTCCTACCACATTATAACTGTAAAATATAGTGTCATGCTTTCTTTATTCATCAGATCAGAAGAGACTTGAAAACAAATTATACAGCATATATTTCTGAGATTAGCACATTTGCAAACAGAATGTGTTGGAAGAGATATTTCTCAGGGAGATAACAAGAATATTTTGAGACACTGAAAATGTTCTGAAAGCTAAGGATGATTAAAAACCCAGCAAGGAAAAACAAAAAGCTTATCTCCTTTATATGTATATTTAAAAAGAATTTGTGTAGGCTGTAACTACCCATGATGAATTCTATGATCCACATAATAGAATTCAGTCTATCTGACACATAACTTGCCTTAAAATTCCTTACTAGTTCTAGTTCAGGATTTCTCAGTCTTAGCATCTTATAAGATGTGTGAATTTCAATTCCCAGAATTCTTCAGGCCAGTCACACTTCTTAAAGGTGCTGAGATTATTAAGAAACACTGTCTTAGCTAAACATCCTCCAACACACCTCACATCGCCATCTACTGGTTCATACATTGCTAAGTGAAAAAGTGCTTACCTCTTGCTCTCTTGTTTTCTGAGATTCAGATACAACTGTGGTGTCTTTGATATCTCTTTCTGGTTTTGAAGCTGTAATTTTCCCTTTTGACAATGGACTTTCAGAAGGTTTTGGAGACTCTTCAGCTAATTTGGGCAGTGGCTTTTCTTCAGATGGAGCAGGAGGCATTTTTTGGGGGGTTGTGGCAATTGGTAATTTGCTTTGTTCTGAAGTCCTGAAATGTGCCGGATGCCTGTCTTTAGCAATTGATGGTTCATGGTGTTGGGCTCCTCTCTGTTGCTGACCTCCAGCTTGGTGCCGGGGGGATCCAGTTGGCTGTTGTTTTGAAGTGGGCAGTGGCATTGGAGCAGGATCTCCTAGGCTTCCTTCTAGTAGCCTCTGAGTTTGGCAGTTCAAACACAGCCATTCGTTTTTCTGGAAAAAAGAAGGGAAAACTTATAATATCTGATTGCTTTGATTGAAACAATTATTCAATAAAAATGAATAATATTTCATTCAAGGATCGAAGTTGTCTCTTCTATGGAAACCAGTATAAACTCTTCTCTTACTGGAGAAGAAAAAAACAACTTGCTACTCTTCCCAGACACCCTGATCAGCAGAGACCACAATAGCAAATTAGAAACACAAATCTACCGAAAAACCACTCATACTAACCAGCAACAACCCAACCTCCCACAAGAAAAGCTGTGTAAGGACTTCATTTAAACGAGCCCAAACACACTGCAGCAACCCAGAACAGCAGAAAAAAAAGAAATGGAGCATCTATACAACACATTCCAACAAAATGGATACCACACAACTTTATCAAAAAGTCCCCAACCACTCAACCCAAGAGAGCACAACCAACACAAACCGTAAAAAGAATTACACTGCCATACAGTATATCAAGCATATCTCAGAAACCACTAAAAGGCTACTACAACCACATGGAATCAGCGTAACACACAAGCCAGCTAAAGACCTTCAAAACATCCTAAGCAAACCAAAAGAGCCAGCAACCCCAGAAGAAAAAACAGGAGTCATCAACAACATCAACTGGCAGTCAGAAGACATGATGACAATTCTTTAATTTCACAACACATAGACAGATTTAGTCATAGTTTCAATTGGGAAAATGTGACAATTCTAGACCAGGCCAAGTCCAAAAATTTCTAGAAACTTGGCACTCTGACAAATCAGCCACCAGAGGTAGACACATAGACATTAACAACATCTATAGACTATGCAAAAGAGACAATCAATCCACCCAAAAGAGAACAAAAAGACTCCAGCACCTCTCCACCAGTAATCAGCATCCAGCTCAGCATAGATTAACTCTAAGATTAACATCAGACCAACAATCAAGGAAACAATATTCCAATCAAGAAACTGCCAAAGAGCCATCAGTGAATAGCCCAACCAAAGAATTTCTAAGACCACCTCCATCAACACTGACAGGGCAAGCCATTAGAATATAAACTCACAGCAAACAGCACTCCTTATTAGTACTGATTGTTAAAATATTCATGACTGGGAGAGACATGGGAACAAGGTCAGCCAATGAATAGGCATAGCAACTAAATCAGCCAATGGGAGCTTAAAAAGATCTGAGTCTGTGCAGAGAATTGAAACAGAAACTTAAGAAGAAAGCAGTCTGCTGCTCTGATAAGTACCGTATATACTCAAGTATAGGCCGACCCGAATATAAGCCGAGGCACCTAATTTTACCACAAAAAACTGGAAAAGTT